CTTCGGTCCTGAGGTGGGCGGCCCCGACAGCCATTGATGCAAGAACCAGCATAGGCACGCCGCTTGTGTCTGGCTTGAAGGTTGGGACGGGCTCTGCGACGACGACGGCAACTTCCTTGCTAGAGGGAGAGGCGTTAGACGGGGATACGGTAATGAGAGAGGAGGAAGCTTACCAGGGAAGCTGACCGCGAAGGTCCCTTCTTCTACATCTGTCTCGCGGCGAGACCTGCCGAAGGGAGCGCGAACGAGACGCCAGAGCGCTTGAAGATACAGGTAGATGAAGGTGAAGGACGACATGAGAAAGAAAGTGTGCGTAGAGAGTGTGGTGGTGGTGGGAGGAGAAGAGTGAATGCGAGGTGGCTGACGTTGGGGCGTATTTACCACTCGAGTCTCTCGATCGATCGATCGGATTCCTCCAAGTATTCTCAAAGTTAGAGGCAGAGTAGAACAATTCCCTTGAAGCCTGCGTGCCTCAGGGTATTCCTTGTTCTGACGATCCTGAGCTTGCGAAGGTCGGCCCCAGTTCTCCGTCTGCCTCAGGGAGACTAGGAAACTCTGGTAAGGGCTTGAACTGAATGAAGGATTGGAGAGAGAATTCCAGAGCCGGAGCACAGCTCAAAATCCAACTTGCAGAATCCAGGGAGTCTCCGCAAATTTGGTGCCCGATTAAAGCCAGAGGTCGTTCCAGGTGCTATTAATTTCGAGTACATCTTGGAGAGATCTTGACGCCGATACAGACCCAGCACGCAGCAGTCCATAGGAGCTATGCGAAGATCTAGAAGCGCCCGCGACCGTGTGACTTGATAATATCATTGAACGTTGATTCGCGGCTCTCGTCTCGCGCTCACGGCTGGGTGGCTAATTTCCTATTATTGGCTCTATTTTTTTGGATGAGCCCATCCGCGTCCTCTCAATTGCACACCCTTGATGTCGCAACAATATTCCCCACGCGAGATTGCCTACTAGTGACTGCGAAGTTCGTCGGCCTTCATTCGACAAGTATCTCTTGTGGCTACCATGGAAAAATAAACTCACGAGGAGCCTGCAATGTCGCATTACGAGCCTTGAGCCTCGTCAGCTATTACAAGCTCTGCAGGAGACCACCGCGCCGCATTAAATATGAGTACCAACATGAACGAGCCTGCCAGTAACTCTGGGTAGGACTCGAGGCGCGGCAAACCGACTGGCACGAACCCGAACTGACTCCGCTAACCCCAATAATGCTGCTCCTCCTCAGTGAGCCCCATGCCGCGATCCCCCTTGACTCCATGCTTGGCAACAATCCCACTCAATTCCTCCACTTCGCCCGCATCGAGCACGACGTCGCCGCCTTCAAGGTTTTCCAGCGTGCGCGTCGCTTTCCTGCCACAGAGTCCCAGTTAGCGCTGCTGCAATAAATGCCACCGGAAGTATGACCGAAGAAGAGGACGTACGAGGATCCAGGAAGAGGGATAACATGCGCGCCTTGGGCCGCGACCCACGCGATGCACAGCTGCGCGACGGTGATTCCCTTGCGCTTCGCCATCGCTTCCAGCGCCTCCACGACGGGGAGGTTGGCCTTGAGGTTCTCGTCCTTGAAGCGGGTGTATCTGGAACGGATGTCGCCGTCTACGGTTTGTGGGTTCAGCAGGCAGCGCGAGGAGGAGAAGAGAATAAAATGGCATGCGGCGCACCCTGCATATCCGCACCACTCTTGATCTTCCCAGCTGAGGAACCCGCGTCCGAGGGGGCTGCCAGAAAATCCAAAAGAATCTCGTTCAGTCCACCGAGTCTGCGCATCCGGATGATCCACCTACGAATACGCCACGACCGAAACCCCCAGCTCCGCCGCTGCCGCGATAACCCGCCTCTGCTCCGCCTCGTACGAGAACGGGCTGACCTCGATTTCGACCGCGGTGACGGGGTAGACGGCGTGTGCCCTGCGCAGCGTGGCGGCGCTGCATTCCGAGAGCCCGACATGTGCGAACTGGCCCTCGGCGACGAGCGCGGCGAGGGTGTGCATCGTTTCTTCGATGGGGACGGCGCGGTCGATGCGCGCGGGCTGGAAGAGGTCGAGCGTCTTGTGCGGGCCGAGGGCGCGCTGGATGACCGACACGCTGGCGCGGAGGCTGGCTGGGCTGGACGCGGTCAGCCGCAATATGTACCTGGATTCCTTGAAGCTGGGCGTGCAGACGTACGAATTGTCTGGCGCCCGGTCGCGCACCGCGCCCTTGACGGACAGGAACGTCCTGTCCGCGTACTCGGGATAGCGCGCGTAGAAGCGCGCGAGCATCTCGAGGTTGGCCGTCCCCATGTCCATGGCGTAGAATTTGGCGCTGTTGAGGAACATCTTGGCGCCCGCGGGGAGGGCATCGACGCCGGCTTTGATGGCGGCGAAACATTGTGCGTCGGGTGCGGGAGTGGGGGTCCAGCTGTGGGTTGCGTCAACGAAGGCTGGGGTGACTTGGGAGGGGCGCACGTCATCATCATTAGACCGTGCTGTTAGACGGATGTTAATGTCTTTCATAGACCAGGAAGTGGAATGAAAGGCGCGCACAGCAACACCGCCGACAGTAGTATCGGACGCGGTTCCTCCGAGCTTGGTCGTTCGTTGAACCATGATTGGATGGAATTCGTTGCGAGGAGGATTTAGGAAAGAAGAAAAAGGTGGAGTTGGAGAAGGTGCAAAAAATTCCAACGGGGATTTATAGATTTCATGTTTCCAATTGGTAAGTTCAAGTTGGAGGTTTACTGTTTAACACATGCCACATCTGCGTTGCGGGACGTTGCCCGGAGCGGTGTCGGGCGGAGAACATCGTTTTGACAGTCGTATTCCAAGTAATCGAGTTGTCTCTCCAGTGATGTTCAATCTCGAGTGGGACGAAGATTCGGTTACCTTTCCGAATATCGGGCGGCGAACTTTGTTTTGACAGTCGTATTCCAAGTAATCGAGTTGTCTCTCCAGCGATGTTCAATCTCGAGTGGGACGAAGATTCGGTTGCCTTTCCGAATATCGGGCGGCGAACTTCGTTATGACGTTCATCTTCCAAGTAATAATGTGCGACTTGAGGGAATAATCCGGTTGTCTTTCCGACGACCTATTTGTAGTCGTTCACGATTTAAATGCGAGTGCGATACGCACGATGGAGACCCTAAGGTGATGCCGGTAAACTGAAGGATTTACGTGAGTTTATCTATCACCAAGCATCGGACGGATCGCGGAATGTAACGACTGACTGGGGAACAGCTACCATGGTTAGCGGGTTCATCCCAGCGGGGGTGAACCAGAAATAGTGTGCCGCGCTCCGAGTCGTGCCCCAGAGCACAAGTTCCAAGAGCTAGCAGCGCGTTGTTGCTGGTAGGTTCAATACGCGCTGTTCGTCTCCTGCGAGAGCTTACAGAGGATGAGGCTCAGACGCCGGGTTGGTTCCGAATGTGGCATGGATTAATATCGCAGCCGCTCCGGTCCCCTCTTGAGATTCATGTGTTGTTTTTCGTGCAGGGTGAGGGAGGGCCACAAGGGATCTCAGAGGATCTACGGTCGGTAAAGACTTCCCGAGTTGCACAGGTCATTGGCCAAATTATACTTTTCCCTGAATTGTGGGTTGAGAATGATCAGATACTTAAGAAAGAGCCAGTCGAGATCCAGGGTTTGTTGTCTCGAACCGCGACACGGGCACGATCCGGTTCAAGGCGCTGAGCATAAGAGCCCGCGGCGAGCGACTGAGTTTGAATGGTGGGAGAGATCAACATGCCGGCTCGGCAAGAGCTGTCAGATCGAAACTCGCACGGCTCTGTCTCCCGCATCGCGCTCTCGCATTCCATCTCGCTCTAACCACCCCTAGATAAAATGGTGAGTGCCCGAGCACCCCCGGGATGCGTCCAAAAGACCGCTGCCGCCGTACCAGCGCGTGGGACGGCGTAGAGCGCTGGATGCAGCCCGGATGATTCGGATGACGATGTGCTAAAAATTTTACAGGCCTCCGTCGAACTCGCAGCCACCTACGCTGCCCTCATCCTCTGCGACGATGGCATTGAAATCACCGTCAGTCCTCATTCCGTGTGCTCCTGGGCCGTACATTGAAAAAGAATCGCAGTCCGACAAAATTGTTACGCTGACAAGCGCAGCCAACGTCGAGCTGGAGCCGATCTGGGCAACACTGCTGGCCAAGGCCCTTGAGGGCAAGAACGTAAAAGACCTCCTCTCAAACGTCGGTGCTGGTGGAGGCGCACCTGCCGCTGGCTCTGCACCCGCTGCTGGCGGTGCCCCGGCTGCCGCTGCTGAGGCACCGAAGGAGGAGGCCAAGGAGGAGGAGAAGGAGGAGTCAGACGACGACATGGTCAGTCGAGTCGCCCACGTTCTTGTCCGTTCACCGCTCACTCAGCGTCCGACAGGGCTTCGGTCTCTTCGATTGATCTGTCTACGTTTTTTTGCTTGTATTCCGCTACCACGAAATCACTTGCATTGCATTTGGGATCCTGCAATTACCGCGTGCGCTGAATATGAGTCCGACGATCGGCAGCCCGTCCGACCTGCGACTTGTAAGATGTGGATGGACATGCGACTGAAGTCGATCCGGGAGTGCGCACTGCATCCGCTCGTTCATTCCTGAGCAAAATACGGTGCTAGTACACGATAACCCCGCGATGTCCGTCGCCCTCTCGATTGTGTATCTCTCCGGCTTGCCGCACCTCGCCTCCATCTCTCCTGCCCAATTTGTTTCTTCTCTTTGTCGGGCGAGAAAAATTGAGGCGCCACCGTGATGCGGGTGCCGGGCCGCTTCCCATTTACATATGCAGTGAAGGTATATTGAACGCAGCCATGAACCGTTCACCGCACCCGCTTGATGAATGGTGCTCAGGACCTGCGCTTTTCAAGCCCACGATAGATTTGGGCGATGAGATTTCTTTCGTTTTCGAAAATAAGGAGTAGGGCTGGCCAACTGTTGTACCTTGTTCAAACCTTGTTCTTGGTCGGGGCGGGGTGATGAAAAAAAAAATGGTTCACGCAAATCCACAGACGCGGGTGCTAGGAATCGAACCCAGACAGCTGCTTGCTCATGGTAAGCATCCATAGAAGCCAGTAATTGAACGCAGTGGTGAACCATTCACCACACCCGCTTTTCCGATGCTGAAGTACATTGGATATGCTGGTGAATTTCGATCAATTGGATTTCGGTCTGCATGCCTAGACGAAGCCAAGACGAAGCTGCGCCGAACTGTCTTGGGTTTTGTAGACCATGGTTCATTGCACATTGTAGATGGTAAGTGTCGATTCAACCTCGAACTTGTTTTGCCGCCGAGGGGGTGGACGAAAAAAAAACCTCTTATAATCACTCCCCACGCGGATGCTGGGAATCGAACCCAGAATTGCCGAATTACTGTTCTCAACTGGAATCGCTAATTGAAAGCAGCCGTGAGCCATTCACCACACCCGCTTGGTAGGTACGAAAGTACAGCGTACATGCTGGGAAGTTTTGAAGCGGGCCTTCGAAATTTCGGTCTGACTTGACTCGGAGACGAAGCTGCAGGTTTCTTGAATTCTGTGGTTCGTTGAAAACGGTAAGTGCCATTTTGGCGCCACTTCCTTGCTTCGGGCCTTGGGAATCTTCCAGTTCAATTGTTCCAGGGCGGGCGGCCGAAAAAAAGAAACCGAACAATATTAACGCCGTTACGCAGGTGCCGGGAGTCGAACCCATAATTGCTGCTTCAAGTTTTCGCCGCAGAAAGATCAACATTGAGCACAGCGGTGAACCGTTCACCACACCCGCTTGTTGGGGAGGAGTTCGTGAAGTACATGGCAGGTAGGCTTCGAATCAAGTCAACTCAAGGAACTTCTGAACAGAACTCGAACTCGAACCCAAGTTGAACTCTTGGTTGAATTCTCCGCCGCACTTTTCATAACGATACTTCAAGCTGCGGGCATCCGAGCCCCCGATGTAAGGAAACGGGTGAATCAGCTTTCGAGTCGACCGAAACGATCAGTTCAAAAAGCGGCTTTGTGGGCATGCCTGAATGTTTGATTTTAAACCAACTTGGTCGGACCTGCCGGTTTCGAAGGAAGCGGGTGTGGTGAATGGTTCACCGTTGCGTTCACTGCAAGAGTCGCAGTTGAAAGTTTCAGCAGCTGTCCCGGGTTCGATTCCTGGCACCCGCATGGGTAGCGCAAAGAAGTTTTTTGTCCCGGCCTTAATTCTGGATTTGAATGCTCTGGATAGGTTAATCCAGGTAGGTTATTATCGGAGAAGAAGAGAGAATTGGAACCAGTACCTAGAAACTTGAATTTTGAGCCATTCTCTCTATCCTGGAGGCGGGGTGCTTTCTAAATAGCTGCACACAAATAGGGAGAGTACTTCATCCAGCACCAACCATCCCAAGCGGATGCGGTGTATGAATACAAACGGCCGTATTTCAATCATGAAATGGTGTTCCAGGTTCAACTCCCGGCACCCATGTGTTGTGGTTTAGAACCCTTTAGCTATTAGTTTGAATGGTCCGCATCGGGGCGAATTCAGAACTTTTTTGCGCGTCAAGGGCCGGAGAGATTTCAACATGATTGACAAACACTGGATACTTGAAACATACCTTAGTCCAGAGTTATGTTCACACCTGCGAATATGTGAAGCAGAGAATTGAATTTTCATAGCCTGGTATCATATATGCAGGAATAAGCGCGTGGTGTATAGCTCATCGCTGCACGAAAATCGGCAGCTGTTCCGGGTTCAACTCTCGGCACCCGTCGGCGCGGAGGATCAAGATGCTTTTATCCTGGGAATCTAGTTATGTAAATGGTTCGAGCTAGTCCGGCGTTTCTGAGCTTGAGGGAAGGAGAAAGACAGCTCAGAGAAATTTTCAAAAATGATCTGAATGCCAATTGGTGGGGTGCACACGTTCAGTTCACCTGCACAGTAGTTGGACCCAGTCTCGACGTCGGGTCAAACGAGTCCTTGGAGCTTTAAATTTCAAGGTGTTTCCTACCGGATGTCGTGCAGAACTGAAACGAGTTCAGTGATGGCCCTAAGGCCTTAATTATCGACCCGCAAAATTTCTAAGGCCTTAGGGCTTAGGCTAAGGCCCCAGGCCTTAGGTGGTCTAAGGCCTTAATTTCCTAAAAAGGGAAGATATTCCCAGATGTCTGCGAGAGAGAGCAAGATATATACGGCTCCCATATTTAATCCCAATGTGAATTCAACACCAATGTGCATCTATTGGGCATGGCGGTAATTTTTCCACTACCCTACTACACATGTATCTGTACTTGCCCTCGAACCTCGAAAAATTTGCTATCCAACACTTAAAGCCTTGTGCATATATGTATTCTCTAACGCGATGCTTGAGCACTGTTCGTCTAGGTTGGCAAAAATCTCGATTCAACATAAAAATGGAAAAAAAATGTCAGGACATGTCATGCCTAAGGCCTTAACTGAATTGTGGGCCCCAACCTAAGCCTTAACCTAAGGCCTTATTTAAGGCCTAAGGTCTTAGGTTCAAGCTAAGGCCTTAGGTCTTAGGGCCAACACTGAACGAGTTGCCTGATTTGGACTGAGGCGTAGCGGATGCCGAAGTGATGCGATGATGGGGTCGCGTGAGCTGTATGGACTGTACAGCTGCTGACTAAATCTAACCCCGCTTCCGACGCTCATCCTCAAGGTGAGTCGGCACTTTTCTTTTCTTGTTCTCTTACTGACCCTTTGCCAGACCCACCACGGACGATGGGTATGCTGTTGTCTTACTCGTTTTTCACCCCCGTAACCCCCCAAATCCAGTTAATCTTCGTTCCCAAAAACGCCTCGCCGCCTCCGTCAAGGGCGTCGGGCAGCGCAAAATCTGGCTCAACCCCGCCGAGCAGTCGGAGATCGGGAATGCCAACTCCCGCGCCCACGTCAAGAAGCTGATAAAGGAGGGCGACATCATCGTCAAGCCCACCACCGTCCACTCGCGCGCACGGACTCGCGCACTGTTGGCCGCGAAGAGAAAGGGGCGGCACACTGGTACCGGTAAGAGAAAGGGTACGGCCGAGGCCCGGATGCCGACGAAGGTCCTCTGGATGAGGCGCCAGCGTGTGCTGCGGCGGCTGCTGAGGAAGTACAGAGAGGCTGGCAAAATCGACAAGCACCTGTGCGTTTTCTCGTCTCTTTGCGCTACACAGTCACTCATGGCGCCGCAGGTACCACTCGCTCTACCAAAAATCCAAGGGTAACGTGTTCAAGAACAAGCGCGTTCTCATGGAGTACATCCACAAGGCGAAAGCCGAGAAGAGCCGCACCAAGGTCCTCACCGACCAGATGGAGGCCCGCCGTGTCAAGAACAAGGTATGCCCCCGTCCCTGCTTCCTTTTTTCGTCGTCTTCACAAAGCTGATCTCGCTGTACAGGCGGCCCGCGAACGTCGCGCTGCCCGCGTGCAGGAGAAGCGAGCCGGGTTCCTCGCTGTCGAGGAGGGTGCCGTCAAGGAGTAGATACACCACCACCATCACGTATCGTATCGTATCTTGCTGTGGTTTCATTCCTTCTATGCCCGCATGTGCCCTATCGACGAATTTTATGCCTTCCGTATGCATATCAGGTCTGCGCTGCGTCGTTCGTTGTACTGTCTGGGTGTAGACGTCGGTTCTATATAATATCCTGCGCCGGCTGCAGCGTCGAGGCTTTGCACTGGAAGACGACCCATCCCAAAAATTTGCTGTGTCTTGGGGGCATAACTTGATCGACTGCTCGGCACTAGCGTTGTTGGCGGTGAACACGGTATACCCCCGGGAATGTGTCCCAATTCTACGGCACGCATCGAACCTTGAGCAATGCGAGCTATATATGGTCCACGACGACGACGAAGACGACGACGAGTAAGGCATTCCTGACATCACACTCCCATCTTTGCGATCGTTGGCGGTACTGGCTGAGGGTCGATGCCTGGATATCCCAACACCCTCATTGTTCCTTCTCTTCAGAATCTCCGAATCTCAGAGCGATTTCTCGAGCCCAGCTGCATCGATACATTGGCCTCTTAATCATTCATATCGAAATCAGCTGCAAATTACAGGAAGTGTCCCTCATAAGGGGAACGGAATTCAACGTTGCTATCTCAGCCTATCGTAAAGTATTCCCGATGATTTCTTTTGGTGTTGAAACATGAATGTTCGTTTGGAATTGTTTCGCCTTTTTGTCGCAGCTTATGTCCAGTCCGCCGTTGATTATTGGTACGAAGCGTTGCCTCTCTGTCCACCTTCACTAAATTGAATATGACCGTGCGTGTTCCTGGGTGCGATAAATACAAACCGACTCTGAGGCGTCAACTCTGATTCTTCCGCCCCCGCTGCATGTAACTGAACTGCGAAAACGCTTCAACATATTGTTACAGACATACCCCCTCTAAGTTTCCGTTTACGGTTTAGGCCATTGAGGCCATCTATGATTCATATTTGACTTGTCTCAGAATCATATCAAATTGAACTCGCGAGCGCTACCGAGCCAGTTTATATCTTGAAGCTTCCTGCCTTCAGCTATACCTCCCAGGCCGCTAGCTGAGGTGAGTGTTTTTATTCTGTATTTAACTTCTTCCCACTACGCATTACTTTCACGTCTTTTTATCTAATGGGCCTCCGTCCCGCCATGCGCCAGAAGACTGACTTCCTTGTCTCTAGACCAACTCCCGCGGAACTGCGGCCATGGTCGCCCCTCCCATCTTGACGATCCCGACGGAACTCACGCAGCAAATAATGCTCGAAACTCTCATTGCAAACAGTGACACGCAGCGTTTTCCGAGGCCAATTCGTAGCGAGGCTCCTCTCGCCTTCACAGCCGTCTCTAGAAAGTGGCGAGAGATCAGTCTCAACATGCCTGAATTATGGCAATCCATCAGGCTCGACGACAGTACTCCGACCGTTCCCCCGCAAGTCCTTGCCGTGTGGGGTTCTCGTGCGCGGAGCCTCCCCAGGAATATCCAGCTGCGAACCGCTGCCAGTGATCCAGATCGAGCGGCAGCGCTTCTTGCAGAGAGCGTGAAATCTTGCTTGCAGTGGCAAGATATTGATCTAGCGCTCCCCCTCGAGTCCTTTTCGGCGCTTCACGGGCATGGACCCTTTCCCGTGCTGCGGTCTATTTGCCTGACCATGCAGGGAGGGATGACAGCCTCAGACGACACAGTAATCGCACTCCCGTCCGCTCCGCTCTTGCGCCAATTGACCCTGTCCAATTTCCCCTTCCTCAGCGTGGACATGCCCTGGGCGCAGCTGACCACGCTCAGGATAACGGTGTACGAAGCAGCTCCGGGCCTCGCCGTATTGCAGCGGTGCCCAAACATCAAAAACCTCGTTATTGCGCTCATGGACGACCCAGGGCTCCCAACCGCGATGCCACCAATTGTCCTCCCGGCCTTGCAGTATCTGAGGAGCCTAAATACACACATACTCCCGTTCGTCACCGTCCCCAGTCTCACCCAGCTGGACATTTGGGGCCCAGGACCCAGCGGCACGATGGAGCAACTCATTGATGATTTGCGGGCTTTGTTGGCGCGCTCTGCCTGCTCTTTGAAGCGTTTAACCTATCGGTCGCCGAGAGATATCACCCCCGCCCAGTTCCTCGCCCTCCTGGAGGCCGTCGCGGCCGTCGAAGACCTCGAGCTGGCATTTCCCCCCACCGGCTTGCTGGAGAAATTGAGAGATGTCTTCCAGATCACCCATGTTCTGCCGAGGCTAGGAACGTTGCATCTCACGTACGGCGTGGGGGACCAAAAATCGTTTGATCCTTTGCTCGATGCGCTGCGCTCGAGGCGGAAGGTTGTAGAGGGGCGGGCTACTTTGGAAGTATTCTCATTGCACCTGGAGCCTGGTGCGAATCTCCCGCCCGCGGTGAGGAACCAGTTGCTTGCCTTTCGAGATCAGGGCATGGACATCAGCATCGTTGACTTGTAAAGCGGAATTTATATTGTGTATGTGTCTTCGCTCGAGCTGTAAATATATAGTATCTCGTTCTTTCAGGAGCTAGCCGTATGCATCGGATTGCGGGAACGGCCAGAAAATATAACTGAGAGAGGCAGAGAAGTGGGCATGCGTCGGACCGGCCGAGCAGAGAGCACACCAACATCGAGCAAGAACGGACAAGCGAAAAGACAACTGAAATAGTCTGATTCAAGACAAGCTACTTCGGAGGGAATTCTACCT